TTACAATGAAGCGAATGGCAGCAATCGATCCGCAACGATCGACCGAGGAGATAAATACGATCAGCGTGCCCGGGCAACGCTTCAGTTGCCGTGCGCTGGCGCAGCCGCTGCGACCGTGATGTAAACAATGCGCGCAGTTCTTGCAATTCTAGTGCTGTGTAGTGAAAACCTTGCGATACGCGTCCCAGTAAATTGGGACGGTAACAGTGATGTGCAAAATGAAAATCAACAAACTCATGAGTTCGAACTGTCGCCGTCACATTATGTCGGGAGGAGTATACACAAAAAAGAAATCCCGGCAGAGTATTTCGAGTACACTGCCAAAAAACCTCAATTTGCTGTCGACATAGCTCAGTTTCATGGAGTGCAAAATCCTCAAAATTATTACAAAGCTTACCCAGTGAGACCCTACACGGGAGTCAAAAGACCTCAATTGGGTCAACATCAGATTTCGAACAAAAATAGACCTGTTTTCGACCAGTTTCAAAAATTCACACAATTGAATGAACCTGAACAAAATTTTGCTATTCCAGTTAACTCAAACTATGAAATTTTCCATCCATACAAAGCAGAGGAACCTAACTTACAAGAAATATACAAAGATCCCGTGTTATCAAAAATAAGAAATGATATAAGAGATAGTCAGACTAGACTACAAAATTATGAAGACGAAGCAGGAAAACCTAACATAGAAGATGGTGAATATTTAGAGAGTCCAGAAAAAACCGATCGCAAGAAATTTTCTCACAGAAACGTTCCCACTAAATTCGAGGTCCATAAACCACAACGTCGACCAATATATTACAAAGCTCCACCAAAATATAGCCGAGAACATGTTCAAAATCACAAATTCAGACATCCATGGAATCAACACAATGCTAAAATTAGACCTGCACACTATCGCCCTTTGAAAAAGCATTTGCATAAGTTAAGACAACATCATGCAGTGACATTTGATGATGAAAATAACCAATATCCTCAGCTACCTCCAGTCGAAACTTATTCAGAGCCTAGTGATGGGTATGATATTTTTGAAAGGGGTAAAGAAAAGTACGTTAATTTGCGAAACAATGTAGATGAATCTATTAATAATGTAATCAAAGAAAACAGACCTACCACTTCTCAAAAGTTAGAACTACAAAACAATGATGACAGAATAGAAACACAACACAGTGATCACGAAGAAGACGAATTCGTGCCCATAAAAAACTATGCACAAGTGAGAAAAACTGAGTCTATTAAACATTTGCCTCGAGAGGCAGCTCTTGCAGATGCAGAAAGTTTAGATGAAATAATAAATGCACCTCGCTTAAGGGAAGCTATTAAAAGTACTAAAGCGCAAACAGTGTATACCGAAGAAGGTTATGAAGATGCAGCTTATGATCATGCTGGTGAACAGAAACATGCTTCTGAGAACGAAAATCATGCAGGATTTCTCAAAGAAAAAGAAATAAGCGGAGGTAAGTACAAAGCTCCTTCAATAGCAGCAGCCTATCAAGACGCTGGTGGACATGAACACAGAGATCTTCTTTTACACGGCAAAAAATGGGAAAATGATGATAAGGAGGAAGAAAAGGATAATGATTCTGATGACTATTCAGAAGACGAAATGGCTGACGATATTGAAGAGGAAGTATATAAACAAGTAAATGGTGACAGAAATAAGAGAGATTCGTCTGAAAACACGGAATCAAGTGAAAAAAAAGACTTCGATGGAAGAGAATATGAAAGTGAAGAAGCCGATTCACAAAATGAAGATGCGTCAGCTGAAGCAAGTGTGCAACATGATGTAATTAAACGCGAAACTACTGAAAAACGAGATCAAAAATTACTTCCGAAACCTTTTGAAAAATTTAAAGTTCCTGAAATAAATTTTAATACAACATTCTTAACTGGAGAAGACTTAGAGGAAATCACAAAGCTAAAGTTCGAAGATAACAAGGATGACATAAGAGAGAAATATCCGTACTATTTCAAAAACTTAAAGACAGTGCATAAAAACTCACCGCTCCGCTACGCCGAAAATTTAAAGTTGATACCGAAGAAATCCGATGGTGGCACAGAATTTTACGACTCAAGATCAAAATATGAATGCCCTGAAGTGGATGACAAAGTTGACGCACTTCCTGAAAAATTGAAAAAACAAGGTCATCCTGACGAAAGTGACGAAAGCAACGAAGACAAGCCGGCAAAGAAAGGTGAGGCTGATTTTGATAATGTGAAAGATAATTCTAGACTCAAGGGCTTGGGAGACAAAATAGACTGTTTCAAAGCAAAGTACTTTGGTGAAAATCCATTGGATAGTCCGTTTTTTAAAGAAGAAATAATATCTAATCCTGAACCAATAACTGCACCAACATTAGATACGTACAAACTTAAACCAAAAGAACTTTCAACACAAGAATCACAGTTCAGCAGCATATTTAAGGCTTCAGACCAATTAAAGGATAATACTCACTCAGACGTGATTGCTCTTATAGAACAGCTTAGAAACGGACAAAAAATGTTGCAAGATTCCTTAGTAAATACCAACCAAGCGTTAAGTAGCTCCTTGATACCGCAAAATTTCTCCATTATTGCCAACTCTCAAAATCCAGTATTACAGCAAGCCGGCGTTTATTCTGACATTTTGGGAAATATTGAAAATAGTTTACAAAAGTCTTTACCTATAAGCACCAATGCTAACAACAAAAATATGATTGCTAGTAAGTTATTGGATGATAATTCGTCAAGTCAGAAAAACATATCTTACGATTCTTTTGAAAACAAAGACCACGTAACAAAAGCCACGCCAGTAGTGAGAAAAAAAAGAGCAACTGCTTTTGTATACGAGCCATACAAAATCATAAGAGACATTCCAGAGCCAAATAAAAAAACAACCACTACAAGTAATGTAAGTCCACTTATAAAACAATTACAATCCAGTAGACTTGTCGATCGAGTAACAAATACAGATGATAACGATCAGCCTGTAAAACGAAATGTTGCTACTCGTGTCTACAAAGACATTGGCAAGCAAGATAGAGAAAACTACAGTAAACGAACAAAATTAGCTGAACCGACCATTATTGATGTTAGTATAAATGAACGCCGAGGTGAACCAAGATATGAAATAATAAAACCAGCAAATCACAAATCAAAGTATACCCCTGTTGATAATAAAACAGCTATATCAGTTGAAGATTACGAAGCAAAAACTAATAAAACTATATACTTTAATAAACAAAAACTAAAAACAAATGATGAAAGTACTGTAACACCTCAAAAACAATCAGAAAAACGGCTAAAAACAAGCAGACCAACAGTTACAACGTACTTTGATGATACGTCCTTTATTTCTAAAGAACGTGATGTACAAACTCCTTCGGCATCAAACACTGTTAGAAAGATCATAAGCACTTCAACGAGTGCTCCTAAAATTGAGAAAAACAGGCATGTTGACCGTAAAAGAGTACAAAAACCTATTGAGGTTCAAGAAGACTATGGTGAATATGATGATGAAGAAGAAGAAATTAGTGCAACCACATCACCAAAACCTTACTTTATAAGACGAAGATCTAGTTCTACAACTACTACTGCTCAACCTGTAGAAGAAGTCCAAGAACTACCAAAACTAAGGTTAATAACACGTTTTCGCTCAACTACAGAAAAACCAAAGAATCAAAAGGCGACAGAAATTTTACTAGCAACTAAAAAGCATGAGGGTGATGATATATCTCCAAAATATAGGGAAAAGAAAAGAAAGAGTACAAAGAGTACATTAGTGACTGATACAAAATCATACGGTGACGGTGATGATGACATGATGAAAGATGAAGTCGATGCTATGATAGGTGTGCAACATGATATGAATGAATATACACCTACGTATGAAAAAGAAAATAGACGGAAACCATCAAGAGAACATGATGAAGAAGAAGAAGAAAACGATGAAGACGATGAAGATGATAATGATGACGATGATGAATTTGATGATGAACGAGATATTGACGACGATGATGAAGAAGGTGAAGATGATGATGACGAAGATGAACCTGAACCTATTGTTACAACTCCCGAACCCAGTAGACGTACTCTTATTAGAACAACTGAAGCACCGCCTGCTACAACAGAAGCACGTAGTGCTAAACTAGAATTAAAGCCAAAAGTAACTAAAAAAACCATTGAAATACACAGAGAACTACCTATAAATAATTCATCACCTCATGTAACACAGTTCAAACAAGACATTAAAGAAGTAGAAATAATCAAGGAAACACCATCGAAGCCACTTATAAAAGCACCTCAGAAAAAACCCCTGAAGAATGTTGAGGCACTGGATCTGTACAAGGATGAAAATTTAGCAAAAGAAGTAAATAAGCTGGGTGCTGTAGAAATTTTCAAGGCAAATTTGGATCTTAGAGGTGGGCCAAAGCATGGTGGAAATTATAGAAGAGCTTCACTAGCTGAATTAAACCAAGGAGTTATTCCGACATCAAAACCACTTTTGCACGACTTTGATGTTCCCAAAGACGCGGAAACGTCTCAAAGTGTAACAAACAAAAAAGTTGAGTTAAGAACGGCTCGCAGAGGCAATAATCGTTCGAGAAAAGAAGAAATAAATGCGAAACTAGAATTACAAGAACCAACAGAACGATCGTCTACACGATTCATGCATGGAGGAAACCTAAAACCTCTTACAGAGCGAGGTGGACGCGGTGGGGGCGGCAAAAGCGCAAAATTAATAGAATTGGATGAAAATAATGATGACGATGATGATTCTCCAAGTTCCATGCACGGTGGAAATTTCAAGTCCTATAGTAGTTCCCAAAGTAGCAGTGGTCGGCCCAGGCATGGAGGAAACTACAGAAGTGCGAAAATTGTCCAAGCTGCTAACAATGATGATGGTTCTTTCAAACGAGACGAAACCACATCAACAACGAATGCTAGAAATAAAGCAGCAGTATTATTGAACAGCTTTGCGCAAGCTGTACCAATTTTGACCACAACACCTGCCTATATCTTAGATCCTAGTAAAAGAATGTACTATTACGTCGAACCCTGACCTGTCGTAATAAATTAGTTACGTTGGCTATATTTAATTAATAGTAGTTAATTTGCAAATTGATTGTTGATTATAATTGGAAGTAAGTGTGAGGCTGTAACATCGAGTATATAAACAGAAATAGAGACGAAATGTCATTTAATTTGTTTGAAAACTATTCTGCCATATCATTACTGTGACAACTGCGCTCCGATTGGCTAGCCCGAGTTCGAAACAATTGACGGATGTCGTCTATTGTTTCACTTCAATTCGACCAGTTAACTTGAGCTTTGCTATAATGGACGAAAATTGCAAAATTACATGTTTAATATTTAATTACCGATGAAATGTGATTCCGTTTGTTTTGTAATTAGATATTTTGCTGTTTTTCCCACACCACCGAATAGAACAGCACGTCATTGTTAGAGACATTATCTTTATTACAATAAATACAGAATATTTTTTGGAATATACGGAGACGTATACACAGGTCAGTAGTTGGCCTGTCTATATTTCAGTGCAAACGGGAGTTAAGAGCTGTATCGCTAATGTGTTACCAGGAATATATGGCCCTTATTTCGTCTCTACTTCTGATTATACACTCGATGGGCTGTAATAATAGAAAGTGCCACAAATTTTGTTTCGTATTACTTTTAAATGATAAGGTTATGAAAGTGGTAAACGAAATTGATTCAATTATGATCTGTTCTTTATATTGCTTTATAGCGAATGCTTCTGTGATAGATAAGTTGTTATATTTTTCAGTTTTGTAGGTATATTGTTTGTTATTCATAAGTATTATTTCTAATGCGTCAATGTGTTAAGTTGGCTATTGTATAAATATTTAAGCTGTACTCGTTCAATAAAGTTTTTGTATAAATTTTTTTCTGAATTTGAATACCTACTCCCTAAATCACACAAAACGTTCTTACAAAATGACTCCAATATTCAACATAGATGTATGCAAAAGTATTTATAATTCGTTTCGGATAAAAAGCAATAAAATCGATTCACCTATCAATAGAGACTCGGTCTGGTTATTATTTGGGTTATTCAAATATGTCTCAACATTATTAACATGAATCAGTTTGTCAACCTCCGAACGATTGTTCCAGTTAGCAAATTCACGTCTCGAGCATTCAACTCGACAAAAACTCTGATGCACTTTCACTTTCGTTCGCTGTCTATCAGCTATTGATTTTCGATTTAAATATATTGATTTTTAATTAAATGTATTATACAATAAATACCACGTAATATTTTGACAAGGTTTTAGCAACCACAAATACTGGAAAGAAAATAATTTGATATAAATGTTAAGATTTATTTCCTGGCAAGTCTTTCAAAGTTTTAAGTCTAGTTTATCATCGATATTCAAAATAATATTAAGTTTTTAAATAAAAAAATAAATTAAAAATAATTTATCTTAAATAGTAATCTAAATTGCAATTTCGATTTGGTTTCGTTTAAAACATTAATATTGCATACCTACTTAAAGCTATAAAATAAGTAGCAAAGTTCCTTTACTCCTTTCACTTAGTTGCTAAGTTTACAATGCGTTCTAGTTAGTTATAATTTATCCACATTAAGAGCTCAAGTATAATGAATAGTTTTAAATACATTACGTTCAGATTGCGTAATATTGACTCATTCATTTATGTTTCTTTCTTCCAATTAAACTGGTGGTTTGTAATCGGGACGGTGGGTTATTCATAGGTTTCCATTCATTCTCTGTAACCGGCACATACGTAGGAACACTGTCTTCTCTATCTATGGACTCGTTTGCTTCCTTGTCGTCCTCTTCAAAGAAGTCTATGATAGGATGGTAGTTGTAGTTTACCCTTTTCCCACTAGATCCAATGGTTTCTCTAACAGCTTTATGTTCATTTGGTCTAGATGTTGAGGCTTTATCCGTCGTCGCTGTTAGTTTTGTAGTTATTGTAGCTCGTTTTCCAGTATTAATATTAACATTAGGCTTTATTTCCTCTTCTAAGTCGTCATTGAAATCTTCTAAAGTCTCGAGATTCTCAACAGCTGATGTTCCCGAGGAGGTTAAGTCATCTGGGCCACTTATTTTTTTTCTAATTGGCCGATTACGATTTCTGACTACTCCTCTCTTGAACGGTGCCCCAAGTTTCAACTTAGTGTCTTTGGCAAAGGAAAATGCAGGAGCAGATGGCGTCGGCGGCTCGAGGTAACTCGATAGTGTTGCAGATATTGTGGCAGAGTCGAAACTATTTGCTGCAGCTCCTATTGGATTTCTCAAGCCGGGTCTCTTAACATTTCGTATAGAAGAAGCTTGGTTGAAGGAGTCAGTTATATAGGAGTTACCGTAGGAATCCATAGGACTTGATGGAGCTAAATGACTTAATTCATCGTTCTCTGGTAGTTTGGTGTGAACGAATGGGGATCCAGTTAACAAGTTGTGGCTGTCAGAGAATGGTGGAAATGATTCAATGGGTTTCTTTTGGCTGAAAGGTGATGTTTTAGTAGGTCGGGAAACCGAAGGCTGCACTTGTTCGAATGCTCCATTTCCATGTTCGGCAGAGAGATCTTCTCCGGGGAAGTTTTCATTGGATGTTTCGTGTACTCTGTGACCCAGTGGTGGGAACGACACGCTATATCCTTCGATATGACAGGAACAACAAGTCGGCACCTGAAATATTGAATACGAATTCATCGAACCAATATTGCAAAACAAGGTCATAAGAAACTTATTTATGAAGCCAGAGTTTACGTCAGCTGCTATTACCTTGAAAATATCCATGTGCAATCCATTCTGTTGGTCCCAAGTCAATAGTCTGTGATAATTATAGACTTGAACACATTTGGACTTAAAGTTGTCAGTCAAGTATGTACAAGATTCTTTTGGTTTCCTGCAAATCAAAATGTAACATACAGCATAACTAGTATAGTATGTTATTTTGCAAATAATTTTATCTCTTTAAATATATACACCGTATCGATAAGAGAATCATATGGATGTATTATTCTGATATAAACAATGTGCACACATAGAATGTAAGTACTTACAAACACTTCTCAAGTCTCAGCGTTTGCGTGTGCTCTCCAGTATTAACAATGTATTTCCACTGCCCCGATGTGGCCCTTGCCCGCTGCGGCCGAGCGTATTTCACAGTGCTCGGGCACATAAAGCCTGCTTCGCCTGCGCTCGCGAAGTCACGGTTCGCTGTGTCACCACGCCTGAAAATGTGTATATTATTAAGTAAATATTTGTAGGCAAAAATTACATTTTGAATGCAGCCAATATTGATTATAAATATAAAGATCGAACACAAAGAAAAATTTGTTTGAACCCATGACCACGCTGTACCGAAACGCTGCTCTATGCCAACTGAGCTCTAGAGTAAGCTGAGTTTTAGATCTTTCTATTGGTTTTTCGGCTTTCAGCGCTATAAGTGACTTCCAGAGAGAGATTCAAGTCATTCAATCTGAATAATACAGTCGATATTGATTAATGGTTATAAACGTGCCGTACTATAATTAATAGCACTTAGGTAGTCGTTTAACGCAGCGTCATCTTTTCGAAAAATGTATATAGGGAAGTCGGATGAGTCACTATATTATATTAGTACCGACACATTTCTTCAGATACAATACTAGATATGAAATAATCGCAAAAAAATTATACTAGCTTTATTGAACCTCAAACAATTTTGAGACTTAACAAAATAATTTAAAACAAAATAGCAATTGAAATAATGACATGTCAAAAAAATCAGGCAAAATACACAAGAACAATAATCAATCAAAGGTCGATATTAATTTTGCGAATTACTATAAAAATACTTTAGAAACGTCTTTGTAAATGGAAAACAAAGGGCAATTATTTGACAAATAATAAAATAAAGCAAATAGAGTAGAACGGTTGTTGATCTATTGAAATCGTAGACGCAATAGCTGCGAGAATCTTCAAAAGAAGACGGTTTGAGAATCAAGTAGTGGAACAGGTTGCATGGTTGCATTCTTTTTTGTATATGTAAAATAGATCAAAGCTTGACCTCAATCTCACTTGGCCCTAAGCGACCAAATCAATGATGTTCACTCTATCATTGAATGGCCCTAAGTTTAGCTTACAGAAAATTTGTTTATCAAATAAATACATACATTTCTTTGCCATACTCATCAACATGGATGAACCAAGGCACTACTTGCATATAGGTGAGTCAAAAACAAATGGACGGTGTGTTCTAAACTTTACAGTAAACCAAAGGAGGAACAGTAAGGTTGAAAAAATTTAGGCTGTAAACATATATTGGACTTGATGTGTTATGTGGGGAAGCCAGACAGACATGATGACCCAAAGGTAATCATCACTCCAAAATATAGTACTCAGCTCTAAAGCTTTACTGAAGAACTTACTTAGAAATTACTTACAAACGTAACAAGCTTTAATCTCATATTCGATTTCGTATTTGGATTCCGCAAATTATCATTTTAAACAAAGTATCTAGTAACGTAAAAACTCCAGGCAAAAACTACAGTACATAATTATCATTTACCTGTTGGAAGTGAGATAATGATCAGCAGTGTATTTGGCTTCTTGTGCCGCTGTGACACCATCCAGTGCTCCCTCACCAGGGTCCTTGAAGTCAGCCAATAGAGCTCCAACTGCAGCCTTGTTACGTCTTATTGATTGGATAATTGCGTCTCTGGAAATATTCATAACTTTTGCATTAAGACTGCTTAATTATAACTAGTGTACGAAGTGACAAAATAGTGAAGCCAGAAGGCTGCCGGACTGATTTTTATCTTATCCAAAGGGGAAACTTTGCCAGTTCCTGATCAATTTGTGTTATTTTTACTTTTCATCTATGTGCAACATGTATAATATATTAATATCTAATACTGTGTTAATAAATTTGAATAACTGGAATGTACACTATCACTGTATTATACTGAAAAAGCGTTGTATAATGAAAATATTGATAGAAACTCTGTGAAATTTTTGCCACAAAATAGGAAAGCGAAAACGGCGAAGATTACATTACGAGAAAAACACTTATTATTCACATTCATCATCATCGTCAACCTATAGTACGTTGGGCAGTGTCAAGGTTGCAAGTCTTCTCTATGGAGATGGGTGAAGGATTGGGAACACACAGTTTTCAATGGTCGTTTACCACCAATGCTCGTTTCTGCAAAGCTTCACCGTTAGCTGAATTGCTACTGAACATTACATGCATTCCAACATGTATATGTCCAATGTGTCTCAATGAGAAGCAACCGTTCTTCCAAGCAACCATGGCTGTTGGTTTATTACTCCAAATAAAAACTTCACCAACTTTTCCACGTACTTGACGAGTTCTGACATTTTTTATAGCGTAAAGTAAATGTATAACGGGTGGTTTTGGGACAAAGGCAAACTTTCGCCAGTACTGGTTCCCATAACGCAAACCGGTTGGAAACTAACAACAATACACGAGAGCTGGAAACTTGAGATGACTGTTCATCACGATTCATTGTTTAATGGGTAGAGCTTTTAATAGTAAACTCTTTTCTGAGTTAGCTTCGAGGATTAAAGTTTAAAAAGACATCAAAAGCGTCGTAACTCATACGAGTGTAATACCACATTGATAATAGCAATAAATTGTCAGTATCGACTACAGTACACAATTGCCGGAGAACACAGCCTATTACATTTAAAAATTTAAAAGTAATCTTTTAGGCCATGGAACACTCGAGATCGATTTAAAACAGACGTCACAATTATAGTAATAGTAACGTAAAAATGAAGCAAAAAAAATTTAATTTTTATCGACTTATTCAGCCAGTCCTTCACGGTCAAAGCGTCCGATTGTGAAAAATCTGTTTTTATTTTTAGTTAGTCAAGCAAGCAAATTTTTTCTGAAAACTGTAATTTGTACAGTTTCTGATCCCACATTTACACATTATCCCTCGTCTTTCATAGTGTAGTATAGCGTCAAGAACAGATCAAACTCAACAAATAAGATTTAAATTCAACTCATTGTCATAAAACAACAACGATGTGATCAAAGCGCCAAGCATTAATTATGCTCTTGACTGTACCTTTTTTCTCATTTATGTACACAAGAATATTTTAATATTGATTGTACTCTCGTTGTAACTTCACTCATTGATCTGTCCTTTCCCTCTAAAGATGCCTGATAATGACTACCACTTATTATATAAATTAAGACCTACCTATCTTCTAATATATCCTGCTAACGCTGAATCTAATAATACTATTGTTTATTGTCTGTAATGAACAAGTCATCTGTACAAAAAAGTCTGTAATGTAATACTTATTACCGTATGTAACTATTCTCACGCACACTATTAACAACATCATCATAAAGCACCATACATACTTGCAAATAGGTGATATCACTTTCGCTTTGTCTGGCAGCTTTTCTTTTATTTCTTTAAAGTTGATATACGTACGTGTAATGTGCATTTACGCAATGGTTACTGACCTTGTTGGATTTTTTATTAAACTGATTGGTTGGATATTTTAAAAAGTTCTTGGCTTTATTTTCCACATTATCATTCACTTTGATTTAAAAAAAAGAATTGTCTTATTAAAGTGAAGTTTTACTTTGGTTTTATTTAATTTATTTATTAAATTTTTATACTTCATAGTATTTAAAATTTATCGCCAATATCATTGAGAACCAACCAATCTTCCACTGGGCTACAACTCCGCTTATATTTCAAATTTAATTATTCATTGTAAAATATGGCCATAAAGATGTATTTCAAACTTTTTTATAATTCTTATGTAGACACTGAAACATTAATTTCTGGAGTTTATAGTATAGTCCAATAAAATAACGGCAGTTGCAAAAAAAATTAGAAAAGTCTTTATTAAAAAATTATGAAGTGTTAAAAAGAAATCCAATATTTACGCAAGACGATTAATTTAGAAATAAAGGAGTTTCAAAATTTCGTGTGATATTCGTGCTTTTACAAAAACAATGCTTCACGAACTCAGTCATTTAATATTACATAGAACATTTTGATTTCGTGCAAACCTTCGATCTGGTAGACTATCGATTATGTAATTTACTGCAATTTCACACCAAATTTAGTGAAGAGATTCGGTTTTAGTAACATTCATTTCAGATAACAAACTGAGTAACCGCGATAATACAAGAGAATGCATAATGTGCTGAAACGTGACCGAGGCCGACAGTACAAATTCTACTGTGATTAATTTACACAACTGAAGTAATAGAACTTTGAACCGTTCTTATTGTAAACGGCATAGAATTGAATTTAAATATTAAGTGTCATAGCTCTGTACGTATCTATTCACGGAATAATAGATATGCATACCATCATATCTCCAATAGGGTAGGTAGAGACTATTGATATCTATCTGCAATACTCCATAGTTACCTTTTTCCGACGTTTTGCCTTTGGCGATGTTCATTACAATTATCGCAATTTGTGCATTGACCATTAGAGCGGCGGTGGCGTAGTAGGAGAATAGTTACTACTTTTTTGAGATGTCGACGGTTCGAATCCCTCTAGCAATATATTCCCATGACACTAATTTCTAACCGCTCACGCGATGCGCTCATCCTACCGCAAAATGGCGGCTATTTGGTTTCGCAAATTAGAAAAGGATTCAGTTTAAATACAAGTTTTTAAAAATAAAAATTATTATTCTGCATTGCTAAATAAATAACCTCCGTACTACAATAAAAACATCTCAAATAAAATGCAGTAATACACCACAAATCCTGCACTTAAAAAGCACTAATGAAATTTTTGGTGTACTTGGGTAAATATGATAATATTCCGTTTGAGTGGTTCTAATGTTTACCATGAAATTACTCCTTAAAGTATAGTTTATAAACATTTATATTCAGGGTAAACTTAAAAAACGCAACTTACGGTATGTTTTCAATAAATAAACACAGACATCACCAGCCCAAACAATAACACACACGATTGTCGTGACGTATTTTTGAAGTTGTTTATTTTTTTTAAATGACAGACCCAGGCATTAAAAACTTTATAGTTTGCTGGAGTAGTTACCGAAATAGCAATTAGTATTAGTTCTTTTACCTGTTATAACTTCGATATCTGATAAATCGGTATAAAATCACCACCGGCACCTCTAGGTGTGGTATGCTTCCAGAGACGCATGAACCACGTGAGCGGCTAAGCTACTATCACATACTTATGTACATTTGTTAATGTACATAAGTTCGTGATGTTTAGTACCAATACCTCTCGCTAACGGCGAAGGAAAAGATCGTAATGAAATAGCACGTTAAAGAAAGTTACTCTTTCTTCTTCGAGAAAATCCTTAACCCACATTAATCTCCAACTCGCATCAGTCCCTAAATCTTATTCTTAGACGTATAAAGTATTGTCGACGATGACGATGAGTACATTAAGCATAATGCCATGAAATTGCCTCCAAATCTTAGCAAAATTCATCGAAATACTCAAGACGTTCCTGCGATAATCAGGGGGTCTATGAAAAGACGCGTGATGCGAATGAAGCTTCATACTGGATACTTGTCTTTTAATTTTGTCGAATATTACTTATTTGACAGTAATTGTTTCGGACGGATGTCGGACGGAGATCGAGGGTAGCCCCCAGGAACAGAATGATAATTACTTACGTAGGATAATCTTCAGAATGCAAACACAGTGTGTTTGTAAACAACTCGCAATTTCCCTGGTCAGCAACAGTTGCGGGCAATTTCCTAGCCGGTGGAGGTCGTCTTCTAGTGATCACAGGACTGAGAGTTGGTTCTGCCGTAGTACGGCGCAACGATGATGACGGCTTGGGTGGATAGGTGCCGCGACGAATCAGGTTTCCTGAAGATTAAAATTTATAGGAATAGAATTTCATTAATTATAATTATAAATTAAAACAATCTAGCCAAACTAACAAGGAAGAATATGCAAAATAATCAAATAGAATTAAAGATACCATTGTCTGCTTAGACTCGTTTATTCTTATCTAAAATTATTTTTTGAAATCCGTATTTTTGTTGTAGTTTTAAGTAGTCTTGTTTATGGGTCGGAGCAATGTTTTTGAGGTGCGTTTGAAACCAAAAAACCTGAAGGTTTTATTTTTCCTTTACGTACCATCTTATTATTTTGATACACTTATATATAATCTCAGTATAAAAAACAAAGTGCATAAAGTCTTCCCCACACCTTTGCGATCTATGAACCGATTGAAAGCCCTCAGCTTCTCAGCGACCGGCAAGTCCTGCGCAAGTGTGGTGTTAGTGCTATCGGCAGCTAAATCCAATGTGCTGTTGTCGGTTGATATTCTTGCCGAAATGGCCTTTCTCGTTGTTGATGCTTCTGTAGTTGATGATGATGTTGTTGTCCGGGTGAGGTTTTTCTGGAACATTTAATTTGTAGTTTTGTGTTAAATATTTCATATTGAATTATTAGGTACTCGTATAGTTTTTCGTAAATCGACAAATATGCAGTTCATTGTAAAAAGATTAATTTCAAAATGTGGAACTATATAAAGCTTGCAACTAACGAGCATTTACTGTCCCATATGTTATTTAGTACGATAATTTTCATAAGATTTTGTTAAATACGTGTGGATTACTTGAGAAAGCGTTGTTAAATGTATATCGTAAAACAAATCACTTACACAACGTCCACATCTAACATAAACGAGTTGATAATAGGTGTCATTTGTAACATTTAATGTGATTTACATACAGTTCTTTTACATTAGAAAGTGTTAGCCTTTTTGTTGTATTCGTTTGTCAATGTTTGCTTTATTGGCTTTGCATGTGTGCCTAAGTTGCAAATATACTTTCAGGTATAATTGTTATTATTTTAAGTATTTTATTTAATAGCTATGATTTTTTCTGGAAAGTGACAACAATGACTAAGTAAGTAAGCGTTTGGATAGTCACGTTGCAGTAGCTACGCTATAAACCGAAACTTCTTGTTTCTTTAAAACCATACCATTTAATATTATAACCACTTTTTCTCCTGATGTAATAAAGAAGCCATCATTGATGATATGAGACTTTATACTTACAATATCGTTTTCAATATTTGCAGTATCATTAGTGACTTTTGAGTCTGTAGTGTTGTGTGCAGTCACTTTGTCTTGTGTCTTTCTGTAGGGTGTACGCAAGGGTCTTCTAGTTCTGGGTGCTTTAGTAGTTGTGACAGTATTTACTGTGTTGATTCCTGTGTCGAATGGTTCGTCATCTAGGTAGGTGTCTTCAGTGAATGAGCGTCGTAGTAATTGTGCTTGTGGTAGTTGGAGTGGTTGTTTAACTTCACGTGGCTCTTTGCCTGAACGAACGGCTCGCCGGATGAGGTTTGCCATGTCGAGGAGAATTGGTAACATGAGGTCTGATGTTGTATTGTCGTTGTTGCCGAACATTGATCTCACCTGGAAAGCAGAAGATGTGTTTTAATGTGGTGTATACTTTACTCATTTGCTGAAGAAAGATGAAATTGTGACGAGTTGATAAAACATAACGATAACAATCTTTAGCGAAATAAAGTTTTAAGTAAAAAATGTCGACTATCATTCATTTGTTTTAATTACTAATACAGGCTTTTACCTATGCAGGCTAGTAATACGAGGTTAAACTTTGTAGTCTGCAGTCTGTTCTTATAGATTTTGTAAACTTTAATTGAAAAAGTTTTTTCTTTATTAAACTTGATCTAATCAATGTTATTATATATTTTGATTTAACAGTGTATCTGTTACAATTTTTTAAATTTTCAGCAGCATGCCACAAAAACTTAAAAAATGATTTTGGTTAATTTCTAATAATAGTATTTCAATAAAGATAAACAAGACGTCGGAGTTAAAAGGTGTTATCTTAATTTCTACTTTTTGACAAAGTCTTAGTTATTAAAATATAAACGTTACTGTTTTACCGCTAAATATGCCAGTATATAATATAATTACGTACATTTGGCATCGTGCGTCAAATATTTTGTTTAAACAAATCACTAGCTGAAAATTAAACAGAGTCTATCGAAAGGTAAATCGAGACTTTGTAAACAGAATTTTGTAATTTACAATAATAGTAAGAGTTAACTTAAATATAGTCTCACTACTGGGCACCGGCTTCCTCTCACAATGAGAGAACTTGGGTTGTAGCTCCCACGCGGGCCTAATGCGGGTTCGAACCCACAACCCTCTGCTTGAAAGCCAGTGGGTCAAACGTCAAACCATTAGGCTGCCCCGATTATATTTCAATATAGATGCGACGATGCGGCCTCCTCCATCGTCAACCCGCCTTTTTATCACCTTTGCTCTGGTTCTTGGCCACTTATTTTCAAATTTTGGATCGTTCTGTAATTCCTTCTCACTTTGTTTCGTTCCGTCGTCCCCCTCTACTTAATGTCTGAAGCAAGCACTCCTGTTCGTCTTCACCGTTAATTTTGATTCATTTACCAGTTTCCGATTTAAATTATGTAGCCTATCTAATATCTTTAAAATCAAGTAACCTGATTTGTATTTGTAAAATACAGCCTGTTCGGGGTAAGTTCTTTACTGTCTCACACATGTTTCGTAGTATATAAGTAGGGGTTTTTTTTTAATATTATACCTGTTTTTATACTATTTTTATTGTTACAGCCTTTCTTTCTCTCTTCAACTTTTTTTTTTACTTTTTTAAACTGCCTCTGTGGCCGAACGATTACCATGCCGGACTGCCACGCAGAGGTCCCAGGTTCGATTCCCGGGCCGGCAGAAATATTTGTATGGCCTACTTTTATTTCTCTCGTGAGTTTGGGTGTAATTTGTGGTTGTCTATGTGTGTGTCCATGGCACCCGCGACACAGGGTTTCCCTAGTGCGGGGCTATGTTGTGAGCGTTATTATTATTATTATTATTGTGAGCGTTATTATTATTATTACTTTATGCAATAAATTCATGTGGACGGAGTAATCTATAATTATCGCTCCTTATTGGCGGTTTATACAAGCTTTTCATTAACTGCATATAGTGATATGATTAATCAGTACACTAGCTATACTACACTATTAATCATATGATATCAGATCTCATACTGCCAGCATTTCCCCAACAAAGTCAAAGCTCTGCATAATATTCACAAACTACAAATAGATGTAACGAGATAATTTGTTGTTTTAATGGAATGCGACTGGCATACTCTCATAGTACGAAGCTTTCTATTTTTCTCGAAACGCCGTCAATTACCTACCACAAAGCCGATTATGAAAATTACGATGTATAATCGCATATCGTACATCATCCGATGGGTTTCTAACACGCACGCACACGTAACGTTCCCTTTACGCGAATTAGCATTATGTTACGAAACGTTTTGGTTTTTTCTTTTAATCTGGCACTTCCTTACTAGGCGCTAAAGTTTGTATGATGCGAATTTAGTTCGAGATTTCGGAGTTCAACTTTTTCTAAGTTATCACGTGATGGGACGAATAAGTCGTACCACTAGGTAGTCCTACTCAATACAGTTGCAGAGCCACTCAGAGTTTTCTATTCAGTTTCTATCTATTCAACACAAGTTGTGCGTCAGTACGAAATTTATTATCTCGTGCATTGTTTTATTAGTGAACAGGTTTGTTAATACAAGAGTCATTGTTGTTCATTTTTGTTTTTTTTCTTTTTTGTTTATGTAATGTAGTTATAGGTTTTATTTTAAGGTGATTTTGCGAGTGTTATTAATGCGTTAATACTATTAAATGGGTTAGTGGTATATGACCTGGATATATGTGTGGTCGCAATGTGTTAATTTTATGTTTTTTTAAAACGGACTATGTAACCAGTGCTTTTTTAGCTAACTTAATTTCTATCGGCGGGGAACTGTTTGCTTACCAATGTCATTTTAATTTCTATTATGTTATAGTATAAGCTGTTTGTACCCTCTAAGATAAAATAAATAAATATATAACCTAAAGGGCACTGCCACTGCGTCCATCACCCTGATATATAAATGTACTCTGTAAATGTAAAGACAATTCTTTTTAGAACGTACTGCCAGAACTTTTATACAGGTGCACTTTGAACCAACTTCACACAGCGAGCTTACAACGCCTTCCGTGTAATGTAGAACACCATCTTTAGGGTTCTATTTATCATGCGCAAAAAAAGTGCGTCACAGATGTTGCGATTGCGTGGGAGCACCAATGGTGTCCTGCGGATGGTAGCCAGAAAAATGGACTCGGCTGTCTTCCATAGGTTAACCGTGCTGCACGTGGGCATGTAATAATGTATTTATAATAATGTAATTTAATTTAATGTAGGTATAACTTAGCTCATAAGATTGTTACTGACAAACATGGAGTAACTGGTCTGAGAGTAAATGAATTTGAATTAGAAAAAATTTAATTTGAATAATTTGGCGTTTACCTTTAGTTTCACCAGGCACCCTTTCTTTTACACCCAGAACTGCGTGGCGGCAGAAATAGGTATGGAAGCAATACTCTCTGGACGAACTTTTCACAAAGAACTCTACTGTTAGTAAACGGAACTCCTATTTGTCGGTATATCTCAGAGTAAGAAAAAAATGTTACATATTATAGGAGTTACAATAAAAGGTTTTACAAAAATTTCCCGTGGCACAGCCTTGTGCCTCATACAGTGGAAACATTGGGGCTTAATGCTCACAGGCCGAACTTGTAAAGATATTTCACTTCGCATAGTTCAAGCTTCCGGTGGCCAGAAAGCTCGCAGCTACTTCCGCCAAACAGAGTACGCCGTACAGAGTGCGTGCCAGCTCTAACAGAATACTGCACATGATCGCCCACAAAATGGACTGCGGGTATGTTGGCCACTGTAGTGCCATTTTAAGTAGGATGTAAATAGGCTTAGTTATTTTTCTTATTTTTGAAATACTAACATTAGCTTACAATACTGATTAAGATTATAATAAATAAAAGATTATTATGCACGGTTCGTATACCGATTAGAACCTAGCATTTAAATCTAAGAAGGAGCTCTGCTTCCCAACTTGCCTAAGTTGAAAGTGAATTGAAATTCAGAGTGATATTTGAAATCATTTCGAAACCAATTATCAGTGTTTTAGAAATTGGTTTCAACAGTCATGATTCGACATTACACTCGACCTTCAGCCTATCATTCAACCTAGACAACTAAGGGAATATAATAATTTATCTTCGGTCTTCCTTTGTACAGCTGTTTTTAATTGTGATATAATTATTTACCAACAATATCATAATTCATCCTATAGCCAATGTCATGTGAACACTAAAACTAATTTATTATGACAAACCATCTACAAACAGTGTGTCATTAACGAGCCATATTGTACTCATTGTTCCAAAGAATAAGGTCAAGTTTAAGATTTATCTGGTTCTCACAATTCTTTGAATGTAATTTATTTTTATTTGCATGTATGGAAGCTTTTTCGATGCGCCTTACTTATGTGTGCCAAGGATTGTTTTAGTAGTTCTGGAATTGATTTATGTCTAGATATAACTGCGATAGTTGTAATGGACCATTAATCCCGTCACGAGAGACTACAGACTTAAGTCATTTAGAGCCTTTATGTCGACACGCGTTAATTACATAATAAATAATATAAGCTGACGACAACTCTTTGTTGAAAGTTGTAATTTAATGCTATTCCATAGAGTTCAAAACTGCTCAATAATCAAATCAAATCAAATAAAAAAATAAACCGACCTCTAAAGTTTGCTTATCAGCTTTTTCCGATTTCCATGGTATCCTCTTATCTGATTCTGACTTCTTAGTGACAATGGGACTGTTACGGACTCCTTTGTACATTTTATATCTTTTTTTTGGTTGTCATGCTAACGGTGATTTGTTGATTACATATATTGTGTCAAATGGAAAGTCGACTTTTATTGGCGGAAAATAATTTTTTAATTTGTGATAGCCGAAACGAACCCAGAATAGCACCATCGGCATCAGGAACTACCTTGAGAGTATACCTACCTTTTGAAACAAAAAGAATTTTCAAAATCGGTCCACAATTGATGGAGAAATCGGTAAGTATACTGAAATGCCACAAAATTTGAGGATTTTCTTCGATTTTCATGGGATTCCCTCGTCAGATTCCGATTGGGTGACAATAGGACTACCACGAGAGTGCACCCTCGCAAACAAAATAAGAATTTTCAAAATCGGTCTACAATTGACGAAGAAATCCGAAGACATACAAACAGCCGCATGAATAACCTTCTCCTTTTTTTGAAGTCGATTGACAAAAAACCAACCCCTTAACTGCTTAATGGACAGTATTGAAATAATACCGCACACCAAAAGTCACTGTGCCGTAGTGGCCATATTGGTTCAACATAATTATTACGCTTTATCACTGACGATTGATCCCGTTACATTCATAGCAGCACTGAAAACTGTTCTTGCAAATGTTTCTTGTGCATAAGTAAGTAAAGCTATGACAGTTG